AGCTGGAGTGTACTAACCACAAATGCTTTATGATACCTTTTCCATGATTGAAGGAAGTATTTTTCAGGTGGAATCCTTGACTTATTTTTGTTTGTCAAGAATCAACAACTATACTAGACTTTGATCAATTTTGTTTCACACAAATTTTAGTGAGAAAATTACTCTAAGTAATTTTCAAATCTTGATTTACATTTTAATTAGCAGCTTAAAAAGAGCTGTCTATGCTCCCCTAGTGATATACAAACATACAAATGCCTTAATTAGATCCACACAAGCTTCTTGTGGTATCATTAATCAATTATCCCAAACCATTACCAATTCCAATAAGATTTACTTAGATAATATGTTGAAGAGTTAGGCAAGATGATCAACTGTGACATTCAATGTTTTTCTTTAAATTTTCTTCAATAATAAAGGAGTACAATAAATGTGAGACACATACATGAGTTGTGTTTTACACAAAGTAATTACATTCCACCTAACTTTATACTTGGCCCTTTTTCTATAATAATGAATACTCCCCTCCACCACTCAAAAGAATTTAATATAAAAAAATATCCAGCTACAGCTTTAATTTGTTTGAGTCATTTACAACAAATTATTTTTTTTCCAATTGGCAATTTCACTTTTTAGGAAATTGATTTTTGCACTTTGCAAGTTAGGTGTGCAATGTCCTAATGTATTGAACTTATTTTAAACACCCAAGATTACTCCTATGTTCCTTCTTTGTGATCTTTAGCAGTGCTTTTTTTTCTTCCTAGCTAACAAGACTTTTGTTGTGAAATTAGAAAAATACATCAACTACCAACATTATTAACGTCCACCAAACTACAAAAGGTGAAAAACACCTATTCACATTAAATTGTTAAAGATATTGGTCTTTGTTAAATGGGGGACCAATTATTAAACATGATATAATGATTAGCTCTTAAGGAAACATGTCAAACTAAAAAGGGTGTGTTTAATTGGTAGGAAGAAAAATGTTTGTCACACAACATGTAGTCTTGGATAATATATTTATGGAAAATAAGTGATTTTTTATTTATTTTTTGTGTTTAGTATGTAAGCAAAAAAGATAATCCCAAAAATATTGAATTGAATGTTTGAATGGTCCGTTAACTTATAGTAACTGATCATAAAAGTCACTCTACTTTGTTTTACTTTTTAAAAGTCATCCAACTTTGTCTAGTTAGCTTTCAGAGTCATTTAATTGAAAATATAAATTTGTAGGAAAAAATATTTCAAAAATTAAGATCAATATTTAGATTTATTTTGGACCCTTCCCCGCTTAAAATGAATTGACTATCTAAAAATGCTCTTAATAACGTTTAACAACAAAAATATGATGGTTAAATATTATTAAGGGAATCTTTAATATTTAAAATGTTAGAAATTAAAGAACCATCATATTATTTTAGTTAGTCGTTATTAAAGATATTTCTTATATAATCAACTCATTTTTTTAAGGTCAGGTCACGAATTGGAAAAAATTTAGGGTGAGTTGGGTCCTCAATAAAATTGCATATGGATTTTAATTTTTTTAAATATTTTTTTTCTAAAAAATTACATTTGTCATGTCATTAAATAGTTACCAAAATATATATCTTTTTTTTAATTAAAATGATCATGAAAGCTAATTAAGCAAAGTTGAATGAGTTTAGTGGTCAATTATTATAAATTAAGTGACCATCTAGACATTCAACTCAAAAATATTTATATATAATCTAGAAAAACACTATAAGGTGGATGAGGATAAGGTGTTGGGGTGGAAGGAGGGGGTAGATTCGCAATATTGTCACAATCTGAGTCTACATCGTGGACATGGCTGGCACTCAAAATCATTGTTGACCCGAACGAACCCTTGGCTTGACATACTTTAAAACTAAATACTGACTAGTGCGAAAATATGTATAGTATGCATATACTTATAAAAAGTACAACTATGATCATAACTCAACTGAACCCTCTAACATACTTAAGAAAGATTATTCGGACAAGACCCTTGGCTACCTGAACTCTACTAATAAAATAAATAAATTATTAATACTCAAGATAAATTAGAGCTCTACGAAAGTACGGAGGTCTCAACGCTAGCTAAAATTGAAAATGATGAGCTAAATGAATAGCTCTGAAGATAGACTGAAATAAAGTCAACTGAGTAGTATGAAATATGATTTTCAAATTAAAGGTTGGGAAATATTCTAAAACTGAATAATAGAAACATGACGTCTGCATATCTAAGATTTAGAAAAGAGAAACATCAAATAGTGTGCAAGATGCTTAAAAATACTTTTATCATCTGATGATAAAGTAAAATCGATTTTATAACTTAAACTGAAAACATGTCTAAAAACTATATCTGTGACTGCATAAATAATCATATATGTTCAAACTATAAAAGTATGTATGTGATCTTTAAGTGAGAGTTTCTTACAACTGACATAAATAATGTGAGCTCATGATGCACTAACTGACAATCCCAATTGGGGAATGCTGCCTTATACCTTGACAGGGTATGAAACCTATCTAGCTAGTGTGGATTCACATGCAAAATGGTGAAACATATGGTATCACATAGTTCTGAAACTTGGCTCTAGGGCCTTCGTTCGCTCGATGCTAAATAATCCTCTCAAAATAATCTATATATGCTCATATATAATATGTCATGAAAACTATAACTGAAATCATATTGTGAGTCTTTTCTCAAAATTGTAAAATTGTACTGTTGGTGAGACTAAGCTCACAACTATAGCATACTGATGTTTTGAGTTTTCAGGATAAAGGAAAATTTTCTTTGAAACCATATTTATTTGTAATGAAGAGTTGTAAACTTTCGTATTTTGAAGTGGCTAAACTTTCTTCAAAACATAATCTTTACAATTAGGTAACATAAAAACATAATTTCCTAAACTCTTTCTTGAATAATGCATTTAAAACTAAAAATAAGAATAAGAATATATATTTTTTATAATACTTCTGAAAAATCTTAATTAAACATAGTTCTTTAATATACATGAAACCCTTTGTTGCTACCCAAAATTCAATGTATTTTTCTATTAAAAGTGACTTTGTACACAAATATAATATTTGATGTAGTGCATTATTTCTCCAACAAGATCTTGTGAGATTTCAGAGTTCAACACTTAAATAAATCTCACAAGATCTTTTTCATAATAAAAAAATGAATTGCGCTACAAGATCTTTTCTTCTTTATTGATTTTGCTATATCACTGACTATTAATTGTACGATATTGATACATAAATTTTTATGTTGTTACAAACTCTTTTCACTTGAATACATTGATGTAAATACATTCTTGTGATAAATACACTATAGAAACACTCAAATATATTGATGCAAATGTATAACAGGGAACATATACATTGAAATACATGATACAAATATAAAACAAAGAACTAATACACTAAAATACATTGATATAAATTTATAACAAATCACAGATACACTCGAATACATTAATACAAAACAAATAACAATAAGCAGATACACTTGGTACAAATGTATAATCAGTAGAAAATACAAATAAATACACTTGATACAAAAGGATAACAAGAAACATATACACTTGAATAAATTGATACAAATTTATAATCAGTTATAGATGCACTCAAATACATTGATACATCATGAATAATAAGGACCATATATACTTTAATTGGCTCTTCAAATACATTCATGTGATGAATACACTATAGGAATATTCAAATACATTGATAAAAATGTATAACAATTAACAAGGACACTCAAATACATGAATACAAAACATATACAAGTGCATTAATATATTAATACAATACATATATGGGTGTGTTTGATTCTAAATCCACCAAATCTACCTCAAATTTACACTAAAATCCTTCAAACTAAAGATATGAACTCCTCGTTAAATGTCCAATCTTTCAAAATATCACTCATTTAATTCTTACAATAATTTCATCATAAAGCCGCAATTTGAACTTAAACTTCAAAATGTTCTCTTATGGTTGTCAACGGAGTTTCACAAACCATCACGATTAATGCTTTATCGGAGCAAGGGAGAGAAAGCATGGCATCGTTGAGTTTGAATTTGGAGTGCATTCGAAGAGTCATCCATGCAAAAAAGAGGAAGAAAATCATTCATAAAAAAAAAAGAATGTTGCTAATTTTGGGAGAGAGAAAAGGAGGGAAAGATAATTGACAGATATAATGCTTAAAATAGTCTTGAAATACGTTCATTGAAAGATACACTTTTAAATTGATAGCTATTAAATAAATAATGTAGCTGTAAATTATAAAAAAAAAATTAAAACTATAGTTGTGTATACATTGTTTAGAACTACAATTGTGTATATTAAACGTAACATATACTCCATTTCTTTAAAAAAGAATGACATTTTTTCCTTTTAGTCTGTTTTTAAAAAAATGACCTTTTCCTTTTTATGGTAACATTTTAATTTCAGTTTTCCACATAACATGTTTAAAGCCACAAGATTAAAGAGCAATTTTGTACATTTGACATAACTTTAATTTAGGATCACAAGATTCAAAAGTCTTCTTTATTTTCTTAAACTCCGTGTCAAGTCAAACTAAGTCATTCTTTGTGAAACAGGGAGAATATTTGTTTTACTATGTACTTTTTCTCTAGTTTGACTTGACACAAAATTTATGAAAATAAAAGAAAAAATTGATCTTAAATATGTTGAAATTAAAGTGTTGAAAAAAATGAGTTATTTTTTTTTAAAACAGACTAAAAAGAAAAATAGATCTTTCAAACCAGAGTATCTCTTTTGTTTTTTTCATTTACATTTGCCAAACCATTGGAAGGTCAAAGTCGAGAGGGATATTTACTGTCAGCATCTTCACTCTCCTCTCCTACATTGTTGGCTCCATACTCCATGGCCACTTTAATTATTAACAACTACTATTTGAATGCACTACTTCTCTAAAATCTTCAAAAGTGCAACATACATCACATATATTTTTTTTCCATTTGTCAAATCTCACATACATTTTTCTCTCTCTTTGTATCATCATGTCTTCGAAAAGTGCAAATTGTTACACCATTAACAACAGCTCCCCGCCGACATCTCCGCGGAACCGGCAAAATTGCCGGAGGAGACTACGCCGGCGGGGAAGCTTTGCAATGTTGCACCGGAGGAATTTTCTGCTGCTTGTCTCTGTTCTATACCTTACGGGACTGATCAGCTGCGTTGGCCCCCTGTTTTCCCTGCTGCAATATTCTGGTTTAGCAACTGGTGCTGTTTATCGTAGTCATGAGATTTTTCAGAAGCTTTGGACTGATATTGAAGCTGATAATTCTTCTTCAATTCAGGTAACTTTGCTCCTTTCATTTATTAGCAGATCTAAACTGATGATTTTTTCCTGTTTTCGGAATTCGTGAAAACCCTATTCAACTTTACTTTTTGAAAAGCAAAAGGAAGAAGAGGAAATTAGTGAAAGTTGTTTTAGTTGAGTACAAATTGTAATTTAGGAAGACTCACATTTTCAATTTTACTTGATATTTTAGTGTATCAAGAGTTTTTTACATTTTAACCATTAATATTAGTTACTTATTCTTCAAATTATCTCGCAAGAGCTAAAACTAAATATTAATTAATCTATGTGAATCCAAAGTTTAAATTGGACAACTAAGAGGGAATGGAGAGAGTATTTTTTGTCACTTTCTGTGATGGTCCAAAATTGTTGTTTCATTATGATTTAAGCACTTCTGTTATGGTCAATTCTCTTGAACTTTAACATGAAATTATCAGACCTTTTTTTTGGATGCTTTGAAAGCAAAATGTAACTCCTTTCTAAATTAAATACTACTCCTTTTAGTGACTAATTTGTCCACGTCTGATGTCACTTTGAGAAGACGAAAAAAAATCACTAAAAGGGAATAAAATTGAATTCCGAAAAAGCACACTGAAAAAGAAAATAATCATGTTGGGAGTGCTACTCCCGAATGTAATGCGCGATTCAGATTTAATCGGACTCAAATGTAGGCTCTGAACACCCTGGGAAACCCAAAAAAAAATAAAAAATAGAGGCATATGCATATATGCAAACACTTATATTTTTTTATAAATAGAAATTTTATAATGGTATTCGGGACAACTCACATGCCTCTCTCATTGAATCCCATCCCCTCTTCTCTTACAATATTTTGTGGGAAAACAAAGTAAGAATCTTGTTTTAAATATTGGGTTTTTTTTTGCAGATGATGAATTAGTCCAGTAATTGTGTTAATCCTTGTAATTGTTTGACTTTTTGTTATGTTATGATAATTAGCTGAATTGATTCACCAATCTTATTGTAGCTGTCCTCTGTCTGGATATACAAAAGAAAGCTAAAAGAGCAAAAACCCTGTTCCTTTGGGACTATTGCCTCAACTAAAGGTATCAAAATAACATGTTGTTGCCTTGTGCTAGATTTTGTTCTTACTGAAAACTGAATTGCTCTCTGCACATTTTGTCTACATTTCACTTTCCATAACCGAACCATCAAACTGCATTTTGGTCAAAATTGCATTTTCAATACGAAATGACAAAATTATTATAGTTCATACCGTCAATTTGCACCAAGGTTAGAATTTCCAAACCACTTATAAATTTTTGTACGGAATTTAACCTGCTGACTTGACCGAGTCCAAATTTGATGCATTGAGATCAATTGCAGATTTGCTAGTTTTCATCTAGTCAAAATAGTAAAGTTGGTGGACACTATTGGAATGCATATAGTTACATTAAATCAGAATAAACTAACAAAAGTATTATGTCAGATTCTCCTGGAGCTAATCTTTACTTAATTGTTGATGCCAATGGTGGCCTCAATCAGCAGCGATCATCGGTATGTAATTTCATGTTGAGTCAAAATGTCACTGTATTTACCAAGTAATTTAAAACTGTAAATTTGTTATATATTTAATTTGTATTTGAGACCCCCAAAGTTTTGGTGTAGTAGTAAGAGAGTAAAAGCAGCATTAATCTGTAGGTTCGGCTCATGTCATAAGTTCGAACCCAGCCAGAGAAGTTAGTATTAGTATTAACCGGAATATGTGTCACATTGCAACTAACTTTACGGGATTTCTCGATTATCATAAAAAAGAATTGTACTTGTGTGCTCGATCTCTTATTTTATTAGATTTGTCTATTCTTTTTCAATTTTAGATCATTGCTAAAGTACAAGCTATTGTGTTCCTTTTCAACTTCATTTTTCTTTTTAAATAAATACCAAGTAATGGTTTTCGACGTACCATGGCGGCTCAAATTATTTAGTGGCCTAAAGCCAAAAATGAATCAGAGCCGTAGCTTTTATTTTTTAAATTTTTTTTTGAAATCCAAAGTTATTTCTTCTCTTTAATGAAAAAACTTTATTTTTTCTATGGTCTTAGACTATATATATATATATACCAAAATATTTTTTAATCCTATGGTCTTAAACATGTTACGTGGAAGTTAAATTTAAAAATTGACAAAAAAGAAATAAACATTCTTTAATTTTTCGAAATGAACTAAAAGAAAGACACAATATAATTTATTTTTTGTTAAAAAATACTTCTAATAATTTTATTATTACTAAAAAAAATCTAATTAGAGAAGCAGTAAGAACACAGAAGTTATGCTGATTGCAGTTGTTGGTTTTGGGTAGTAACCTTATTGCTTTTACTACAGATTTGCAATGCAGTAGTCATTGCTGCGCTATTGAATGCCACATTACTTATTCCTCGTCTGGAGTTTCACAATGTCTGGAGGGATTCGAGGCAAGTTTCCACATCAGTACTTACTAGTGTGTTAATCCTACCAAGTAATGGTTGAAAATTTACACATCTTTATCGCCTGTCCTATCCGATCTCAAGGTTCTATACTCTCTGAAATTACACATTTTACGATCTCAAGGACATCCTTATATGATGAAAGGATGTGCCAGACGGAAGAAGTGCAATGTTGTGTTGGATTAAGAAAGGTTTCCTATATTGCTTTCTTATTGAACTCTTCTTTCACATTCTTTGCCTTCCTGTATTTCTAACCAAGCACACCTAACTGCTAAAATGAAATAGGTGTAGGGTGATTGAAGAATATTCCTTTCCATTGACTAGTGTAGGTTCCGTCTCTACGTGCTTCATTCTTGTGCAAGGTTTCTCATGTTAAATCACTATTTCACGTTTAAATAACACCAATAACCACATCCAGTTGAACTTCTGTATTCACAAAGGTTATGTTTGTTGTTTCTGTTTTTGTCACAAAGCAGTGAATTTGGTGATATTTATGACGAAGACCATTTCATGTCCACCCTTAAAGATTATATAGAAGTGGTCAAAGAACTACCAACGGAACTGATGGAGAGATATGATTCTAATATCAGCAATATTCAAAATTTGCGAGTTCAAGCTTGGGCACCTCCAAGATATTACCTGGAAGAGGTTTATCCTGTCTTATTTAAGCAGCGGTATGCAATTTTTTGTTTTTCAATTTTTAGTGGATGGCACTTCTTTCCTAGTAGTTAAGAGCTGGCATTGACATTAGTATCACATTATTTTGTTACTTATGCAGACCTACTTTATTTGTATTCACTGGTTACTTTATCATGCAGGGTTGTTCGTATTTCCCCCTTCGCTAATAGATTGTCAATGCATCTTCCATCTCATCTTCAGTTCCTGAGATGCTTTTCCAATTATGAAGCTTTGAAGTTCTCCTTAGCCATATCAGAACTTGCAAAGAAGTTGGTCAAGCGCATGATTGAGAGGAGCTCTAACTCTAGTGGGAAGTATATTTCTGTCCACCTTCGCTTTGAGGAGGTACACTCTCTCTTCCTAGTTCTACTTGCATGGCATTTTCTGGAGGTCCAGTGAACCTGTTGATCTTCAATCTAATGATGAAATATCCATCTTATATGTGAAGGACATGGTAGCCTTTTCGTGTTGTATTTATGATGGAGGACAGGTTGAAAAGTCAGAAATGGATGTAGTACGTGAGAAAGGATGGGGAAAGAAGTTCAAACAAAAATATCGTGTTATTGCACCTGGTCTCAACCGTAAAAATGGAAAATGTCCTATGACCCCTGTAGAGGTTAGACTTTATTTAGCTGTTTTCCTTTAAATAAAACTTGGATTTTCATCTGGAGAAGAAAATGAATTTATCAGCGTTATACTACCTAAGTGACATCCTGATGTATCTGAATTTATTCGTTGTAGGCTTGTAGCTACTCTTTTGTTTCATATATTTTTCTTTGTCAGGATAGGTTGGCATGATGCTTAGGGGTATGGGATTTTCCAAAGACACTCCGATATATTTGGCTTCTGGGAAGATATACCAGGCAGATAGATATCTAGCACCTCTGCGGAAGATGTTTCCACTCCTACAAACCAAGGAAACTTTGGCAACCAAAGATGAGCTTGCTCCATTTGAGGTATATGTTGATGACAAGCCATTTCTTCAAGAAATAGTGTGTTGTACATCTAGACACGATTGACCACCTGCCAATAATACCATCAAATGGACTAGATATTGGACCAATTGAGAAATGGATGTGTCCTCTGTCTATTTTTGCTTGAACTGAACCTAAGTTTGTTTTACAGGGTTATTCATCAAGACTAGCTGCTGTGGACTACCTAGTATGCTTGTTTAGTGAGGTATTTGTAACCACTCAAGGCGGAAACTTCCCTCATTTTTTGATTGGTCATAGAAGGTACCTTTTCAATGGACATGCCAAGACTATCAAACCTGATAAAATCAAGCTTGTAACTTTATTGCAGAACACAAGCACAAGGTGAGATCCTTTTCGTATAGCTCTCGTCTATATTCTTCTCTTTCTGCTTCTCATATAACTGAAAACAAATTCTACCTTTCCTTGCCTGTAAGCATTATACTTCTATAGGTAGAATTTGATGTGATTTCATGAAAGCCTCACTTCTTGATCTCAAAGGTAGAACTATATGCGTTTTTATGCATATGAGTCAACTTATTTGCTCATGAATCATGATATTATCTAGTCGTGAATAATCTACTAACCTGCATGCAAAAAGTAAATATCAAAAGAAATGGAATGAACCTGCCCCTAAAATTTATCATTTCAGAATGTTTCCGAGGCTGAATCTACCTTTATTTTGGAACACGGCTGTTAGAATAGGAGTAGGAACAAGAATAGTACATAGAATCCTACTTGGAAAAGGATTGTACTATAGTGTATATGTGTGTAATAATGTAGATACAAAAATTCAACAATACTCTTCTCCAATATTTCTCACATGGTATCAGAGTGTCTACGATCCTATTAGAGAATCAATGCCTCTTATTGTTTTTACTCAATTGTTTTTTGTTTTCCTTAAACTGCTAAACAGCTGGATTGATTTCAAGGATCAAATGGGATCAATGCTGGCTGAAAGTGATAGGAAGGGCATAATGGTACCTAGAGTTAAGAAGTCCACCAGAAAAGGTTCTATCTATTCGAATCCTTTGCCTGAATGCAGGTGCCTTTGGGAGTCAAAAAGAACTACCAACCGTAGTAATTCATACCTCATGGTAGATCACTAAGATTGTTCGATAGTTCTAAGTTTCTCTGATTTGAGAAGCCGAAGTTGATCAATTAAGTTGGGATCCTTTTGCAAACACCAGACTTTATGTGTCAATGGGGAGTGGTAGAATAGATCCATAGTTGCAAGTCCAACGTTGATGACAGGAATCGAAGATCATCGTTAAAGCATCTCGAGATTTGCCTTAACCGGCGAGGCAGGACATTTGATCTTATATGTAGTTGATATCAGTACCCTTTGTAGTACCTAAACTTCCACTTACTATAATAGTAGTAGAAATTTTTTTGTTCTTTCTCTTTTCTTCTTAGGATTTGTTACTGCCTTCACATTTCTTTTGGAAATTTGTGCTCGTCTAGTCTACCAGTTGTAATGCTACAAGTTTTTAACTGATTAAATTTCAAGATTTATTGTGCCAGGTGTTTCTACCTTAGCAAGTATCTTAAGGATTTTTGCAGCTTTATATAGTATTTGGACTGAGATGAGCTTAAGTAGGGCGACATGAACAGTAAATTCCAAAGTTTAAGAAATGTGTAATGTAAAACGTACAGTTTACGGCCTGTGTAGTTCGATGCAAAATTCAAGCAAGTACAAAGTATACTGAAGTTGAAATAAGAATAATCAGTCATTCTGCCTTGAACCATTGCACATAAGTTTCCTGGATACTGATAAGTTCGATATGAAATGATCAGGACTTGACACTCAAAATTTAAAATGAAAATAACTACGGCTACTTTTTGGTTTCCATTTTCCACATATTTAAGCATTAATTTAAATAAGATGAATGAATCTATATCCTAAACTCGTTATTGATGACTTACAAGTTACAATCAACTACTCCTTCTGTCCTAATTTAAGCGCTAAGCAATAAAGGGAGTTTTTTGAATCTCAAATATAATGTCCACACTAACATGAGTTGAAACAAAAAAATTGCTTCTACCCTGTCATAGCACCGGCCTAATTTATTTTTTTGGGTTTTCTCTATCACTTAATAACATTTTAACTGTGAAAATTATTGAGAATTTGTCATGGCATTTGTTTGAAAATACTAAAAAAAAAAATTGACTTTACAAAATTCTGTTTGTTCAAACCATTTTTGTGAAAGGGTTGACCTTTTTTCCTAAAGTAAATTTAGCTCAAACAAATGCTTTAACTGAGTCACTTGACATAAACCATGCAGATTCCAAAGAACTAAAATTAGATTTGGCTAGGCCAGATGGATGATATGAGGCTTACCTAGTTTGTTTTCCTCAGCTGTGGGTATTTACATAAACAACAAGAAAATACTAATTGGAGATTCACGTGCAATAATTTGCAATAGGCTCTTCAAAATGTTGGAATGACGATTATTTAAACTAGGTTAGTAAATAGGGTAAGCTAAGGAAAACAATGGATTGTCTAAAGAAAACACACTATAATGTGTATTGTAAAGGGAACCAAAACAAAAAACATCCTCAGTGTTCCTGGTTTTCTTCATACGCGCTATAACATTGTCCAGGATGAATCAAGGTGTCATCTTGAACGAGAAAAACAGACTGGCAAGAAGAGGCCACCAAAGCAGCAGTAAAATACCTCACCATTAAAGAAACCACCTGGAAAGGAACAAAAGAGCCACAATGAACATTGAACGAAGAAAAAAAAAGCAAAAGATAAGAATTTTTTTGGACCAGATAAAGGAGACAATTTCCAGAGGATCTGATAGATAGAAATAAAACAGTGCTCACTTTGAGGAAGCAAAAAGAGCATCAGCCTTAAACCCCACAATACTACACAGCCATATAATACATGTTCTACAAAAGCTTCAGATTGTTAACATAGTTCAAACAAACAAACAATACCTCAATTCAGTAATACGAGCAAATCACATAACAAGAGCAGAGATTAGGTCTTATTTCGGCAGTCTATGCAAGTGTTCATGAAAAAGATTGGGCCTCTTCTATGATTGAATTCTCAATATCCCAACCATTAAGATCTAGCCAATAGCTAGTATGAAAACATTTCTTAGTAAATTATAAAAAAAAAATCACTAAGTAAATAAATCTTGATCACCACCAGAAGCAAAGACCAATTCCCCCACCACCACCACATACACAAACTAGGGAAATTTTAATACTGCACAGCAACAGCACGTTGGCTGAAAATACAATAATTAAGTATAAAATTAACCTGGCACATATTGTATGCAAGTATGTCCTATTTCATTGAGGGATTCATTAGTTCAATAAAGGTTAAGGTTTTTAATACAATGGGGCCTCACAAAATGTAATAAATCAGATGCAAATCTTGTTTAGCACACAAAACCAAGAAAAAACCAGGAAGTAGAACCTGACTCATCAAAGAACCTTGAGAGACCGGTGCAATAGCCTTTCAACATATAATACAAGGTTACATCATTCTAATGTTTCATCATTTCAAAAACACTAAATAATAAATCATCTAACTTTCTCAATAATCACCACATACTAAGCATGGCCCATTCACAACAATCCTCACTGAACACTCCTCAAACCTTCATTACTTTCCCCTTTTTTAGCCCTTATCTGCCAAAAATAGACATCTTGAACCTGATCCCGTTTGGTGATTAAATACTGGAAAACTAATTCTGGTATTGCGGGATAGCAAAGAGAAGGCCAGTAAGTATTCTATAAGCCTGTCTGCACCAGAAACCTTCTTGTCCTCAGTTCAGGCAGTACTACAACAGCTATGGATTAGCCATTAACCTGACTGTTACTTTTCCACAAGCTATCGTTCTTTACGAATCTTCATAATACACCAAAAGTTAGCGAAAAGGTCTATTTACCTACTCAGTATGCTCACAGACACCTGTACTGGTTACTTATCCATACCCACAGTCCATGTAACATTGGAATGTGAGAGGATCCTACACAATGTCGAACTATTATGCCAACTCAGCCCCGAGACTTACTCAAGATTGGAAAAGGGGACAACCTGCAATGCTGCCTCAGTATGGTAAAATCATGAACTATCCATCTAGATATACAGTCTTATAAAATGAGTCTTTGAAACATGATCAGTCTCTTTTTATACTCTCCGTGCCTCTCTGCCCCACAAGGTAGGGGGTAAGGTCCGCGTACACACTACCTCCCCACCCCAGACTCCACTTGTGGGATTATCCGCGTACACACTACCTCCCCAGACTCCACTTGTGGGATTATCCGCGTACACACTACCTCCCCAGACTCCACTTGTGGGATTATACAAGGTATGTTGTTGTTGCCTATCTCTGTGATCCACTACTTTTAACTAAATTGTACCGACTTTCCAATTCATTAGTCCTTCTATCCCATGATATCTGATTGTCTCTGCTTCAGACAAACTAGAGAAAGTGGCCTTTGACAAAGTATGTGTGTATTACTTCTTTAAATTTTACGTATTACTTATTTCTATGGCAAATTTGAAACCTACCATTTTTTCCTATCTTTCAAATATCAACATTTATTTTCCCTTTTTTGACGTGCAGATAAACCTCTGCTCTCCTAATTCAGTCTATAGGTTTTGGTTTAGGTTCAATCTTAGTTGTTTAGCTTAGGTCCATCAATCAATCTCTCATAAACCCCTAAGCTGAATCTATGCACCTTGACTTTTGGCTTTTCGTTCTTTCTGCTGCAGCTGTTTAGCTATATTCGTCTCCTTTTCTTAGTCCCCATCAGGAAAGAAAGCTGGCCCCCCTCCTCTGTTTCTTCAAAGACAGAGGTACACATCACAGGAAAAAACCCCAAAAACAGAAAGAGAAAGAAGTAAGTCAAAAAATAGGATTAAATATAAAAGAGGGTAAACTAATCCTTGAATATTACAAACTTCACAAAATTGTTGATTCAAGTGGATTACATTTTTGTCCGAAGTGATTAAAATTGATTCTTCTTCTAGCAGTCTGTTCTTTTAGAGTCTGTTTGTAAAAATTTTAGATAAGTTAACAATGAACATAAGATTTTCTGAAAAGATAAATACATAAATAAACTAGCATTTTACTCAATTGATTACCTACTCAACGGTTGAGTCCAAGAAGCATATTCCCTTGCTTTGGCAAGTAAGCAACATTAGGAGTCTTAGCCAAAGTCCCAGCAACTTCTCTAGAAGCTTCAATCCTCCTCAACTCAATCAAACCCATTCCAGCAGCCGCAGTAGCATCTGAAATCAGCTTGGCAGATTCGCTCTCTCCTTCAGCCCGAATAATCGCAGCCCTCCTCTCTTGCTCAGCTTTCATCACCACAAATTTCGATCTCTCAGCCTCCTGCTGAGCTACCTGTTTCTGCTCCACAGCTTTCGAAAACTCAGCTCCATAAGATAAGTGTGTGATCGCCACATCATCAAGCACAATATTGAAATCCTTGGCACGTTTAATCAAAGTCTCCCGTACAAGTGCAGAGACCTGTGGACGATCCGTAAGGAGCTGATCAGCGTTAAATTGAGCCACAACAGCTTTGAGCACCTCATTACCAATAGAAGGAAGGACTTTTTCGTCATATTCAGTACCTAGGTTTTTGAAAATGTAGGGAAGGCGTGATATTTCTGGTCTAGAAAGAATACGTAGCGTGAGATTAACCATTTGTAGATCCTTTGTACCGGAGACTGAGGAGAAAACGTGAGGCCTGGTACGAATATCGAATATGAAGGGCTTCTGAAGCCATGGGATCAAAAAATGAGTGCCTTCACCAACGGTTTTTTCAAGGACACCATTGAAACGGTCGAAGAGAACGGCGCGTTGACCGCCGTCGACGGTGTAAAGGGAGGAATTGACAAGTGCGCCGCCGAGGCCGAGAGTGAAAGCGGCGCGGGCTATGTTGGTGAGGAAGGAAACAGCAGCTTGGCTACCCATTGTTGTGAATGTAGAAACAGAGAGACTGAGATTTTAGATTAGGGCTTAAGAGAAAAGAATGGAGGGTTTTAGAGCAGAGAGTTTGGATTGCTGTGCAAGTTTAACATTTGGAATAAAGTTTTTTTTTTTTTTTTCTATTTACAAAATTAGATTAATAGTTACTATCACATGTAGCACTATTTTAGTACCATATATCAAAATATAAAAGGGAAAAATTAAGTGGTCAAGTAAACTTTAGAGCCCGTTTGGATTGACTTAAAAAAAGTAACTTTTTAAAGTGCTGGAACTTATTTTTAAAATAAGTAGTTATGTGTTTGGATAAAAGTGCTGCAGTTGAAAAAAAAGTTGTTGATGTGTTTGGCAAATAAGTGTTGGTAAACACTTTTTTTTATCAAAATGTCTGAAATACCCTTTAAGCTGTTAACATGATAAAAAGTTGATTAATTTAAGGTTTTTATACTTAAAAAAAAAATTAAAACAAAATTAATTTATGCTTTACATCCATAAGCAATAATATTTTTCGATCATTCACATATTTCTTTACCACCTTATAAGAGGAATATAAATTCATATTTCAGAAATAATAATAATAATAATAATAATAATAAAAAATAAAAAATAAAAATAATAATAATAATAATAATAATAGTAATAGTAATAATAATAAAATAATAATAATAATAAAATAGTAATAGTAATAATAATAATTATTATTATTATTATAATTATAATTATTATTATAATAATAATAAAAAATAAAAAATAAAATAATAATAATAATAATAATAGTAATAGTAATAGTAATAGTAATAATAATAATAATAATAATAATAATAATAGTAATAGTAATAGTAATAGTAATAGTAATAATAATTATTATAATAATAATACACATAATAATAATAATAATATAATTATAATTATTATTATTATAATAATAATAAGCATAATAATAATAATAATTTAATAATAAAAAAAAAATTAATAATAATAGTAATAGTAATAATAATAATAATAATAATATAATAATAATAATAATAATAATATAATAATAATAATAATTCAATATGGGCAATTTGGAAATTGTATAAAAGAATTAAGGGCAAAAAGGTAATATACTTGGTCAACATAAAAGAGCTTTTAAGTTAAAAAAAAAAAGAAGCTCCCCTCCCCTAGCTTTTAGCTTTTGGCTTAAAATAAGTCATTTTTTACTTAAAATAAGTCACTTTGATAATTGTCAAACACTCTAATAAGTCAAAAACTGGCTTTTTAAGCCAGTTTTACCAGCTTAAAAGCCCATCCAAACAGGCTCTTAGTCATCATAGCTATAGTTTTTCATAATTATCACTCGCGATTAGCATTAACCATTAATTACGTGGGCTGACTTCAAATTTGTATAATTAATCACGTTTGTATAATTTGTATAATTCGCAACTAACAATTCTTCATTTGGTTTGTATTTTGTATACGATGGTTTGTATTTGTATATGACGATGAGTTCCTTTGGTTTTTTAGTTTTATCACCATATACATTCAATCTTTTTTTTGTATAACCTTTTAAAGTTTGTATAAACGTGTAGTTTTCAAATTTTGTATAATATAATTTATATAATGTAATTTGTATAAAATATTGTAAAACTGTTTAAAGTTCATATGTTTATGTTTGTATCAATTCATTATTTCGAGTTTGTCATATTTGTATAATTACAGACTTTGTATTACTCAATTATACAAGTGTACGCAAAATCTCGCTCGCCGGATATACAAATACATATGTATACCAATTACTATATACAATTATTTTGACAAATATACATATATAATTCACCTCTCTCTCACTCTCTGCCCTCTCTCGCTCGCCTCTCTCCTCTCTCTCCCAATCTCACTCACCACTCTCCTTCCTATAACATGTAGCTACGACTCGTAATTAGCAAACTATAGTTATGGAGCATAATTACGTTATTTTTGAGTGGTTATATGCGAAAGTTCCCTCATATAAGATAACACTAGTTTTCAATCAAAATGTAAAAAAAAACCGGCTTTGAATTTTGCTCATAATTTTATGTATATGATTATATAAATTTTATAGGAAGTTAAGGTTTTTTTATTAAACTAAGTCATTATTTAAATCAATTCATCAAAATAATACGTTTTTAATTTTTTTTACAGAACTAGTATTCCCTCCGTTTCTTTTTATATGTTATCCTTACTATAAATAGTTGGTTTGTAATAATTGTCATTTCATAAAATCAATTTATTATTAATTACAATATTCTTCATAATCCTTGATAGTTAATTAGTAAATATTTGACCAGCCTAGAAAAACTAATAAGTAATTAATGTTCATTGTAATTACATCATACATTGATTAATTACTCTTACCATTGCACTACTTTATAAAATCTTGTTTTGAAAAAGAAATGTCAACAAACAAATTAAAAATAAAAGACGAAGAAAAAAAAATTGAAAGTTGAAGCTTCAACAAATTTTATCAAGGAAGATGACACTTCAAAAGGTTTAAAGGATGTAAAAATAGAAGACTCAACCAAAATATGTGAAGGCCAATTTGAGAAAAATCAAGATCCAAATAAAGGAGTTTTGCACAGTCTCGACTTGAATATATTTTCAGATTAAGGAGAAAAAGCATACAAAGATGAAGAATTACAACAACATTTAATACTATGCTAGAAAAATTACTCCCAAATTTTAATTAAGTCTGTATCTTTTTTTTCTTGTGATAGATAAAGAAAAAGTACCTCATATACTGAAATCTAGCATATTTATCATTTATTGAAAAGGTGACTTTAAAAAAAAAAACATAAAAAATAAGGATAGAATTGTAAACTTACTTAGTTTCTTAACGCAAGTGAAATCTAAAAAGGTGACATATAAAGAGGAACAAAGGGAGTATAAATGTATTTCTCAGAAATGTTTTTAGGGCATATTTTATTTTTAAAAATTGAGTTGTGTGAAATATTGTGGTTAATGGCGTTAAGTTAAAAAAAGGTTACTATAAGTAACATTTTTAGTCCAATACGTTGATGTGAGTTACGTTTTTTCATTTTTTTACAAAATTAGTATAAACTTATTTCTCAATAACGTTTTAGGGCATAAAATATTGTGGTTGGCGGCGTTAAGTTAAGAAACGTTACTATGAGTAATATTTTTAGCTTAATATGTTACTGTGAGTAACGCTTTATAATATGTCACTCTGAGGTACATTTTCCACCTAAAATGTTACTCACAATAACGTTTCTTAAGAATCTAATCACGAGTCATCTAATCCTGCAAATTTAAAACATTACTCACTAAAACATTTTAATTACACCTAAAATGTTTCTCATAGTAACGTTTCTTAAGAATCCTACCTTAAAAACATGATTGTGAGTTATGACACTTCGTTAAAGTCATATTCCTCCATTTTCCAAATTGACATGTGATTATAAAATAAATCTTGTTGTAAGAAACGTTTTGCATATTCCAACAATATTCAGAAATGTTTATACTTGTGTGGCCCATTGTTGAAATAATATTCACAAAACTTCATCATGTATTAAATAAGTCAAGTCAATATATAATATTATGTTAAGTTCTTACTATAGCTTTAAAATTATTCTTTTTGATTTATTAATATTAATAAAAAAAGATATCTTATTTTTATGTGTAGGATAAAAATGGCAAACTTTGAACATAATGTTATGGTTGTTTTCTATTGGGTGGCGAAATAATTACTGATATGAACGAATTCAATTATTTTGAATGTGCTAGAACAATTATTAGCATGTCTACCTCGACTCACTATATATGTTGAATTGGTTAGATTATTGCATGAGAAAATGGGAATAAATAGTGAAAATATTCAAATGAATATTTCTGAAAAATATTATTGTGCAATTTAAGGTAATAATACAAAGTTCATTAAAGAAAGACTTGCAAAAATATTTCTTGCAATCCAAGGGACTGGACTAAGATCCACATGAAATCTCAATCAGTATAAAATATTTTGTGTAATTTACTTTCTTCTTTTATTGTTTATTGACTTATTCAATTGTTAAACACCCGACTCATTAATTGTCTTATAAACATAGAATAAAAAAAGGTTTTCAATTCACCATGTCTCCCTCCTGCACTTTCAATTTTTTAGGCGAAGGTTTAAAAATAAGATTTTGTGGTTTTCTTCTTCCTAGTTTATCTTTAATTGAGGATTTATAAATGTTTGAATCTTTAGACAACATTTCTAACATCTAGATTGAGAAAATATGTATTGTTTAATGTTAGCTATACAAACTAAAACATAATTGTGATGAGTTTGATTTCAAAGTCTGAGAATCATACTTCAACTTGCAATTATTCAGATGAGAATTTATGGTAAATAAGCATTTTAAACATATAGGTCTTTTGCTTGTAAAACAGTGTCAAGATAGGTTGAATGGGTGGATATTTTAATTCATATTTGGCTTATGTAAAATTCAATTGGAGAATGTCATGTCACCCCAATGCTTGATGTCACTAGATTTGTTTGTTTTAGGGTAAATATGAGCCAAAAAATAAGGATAGGGGCATCCATGGACCAATAGGTTAATTGAGGATAATGATAATTCAAATTAAATAAATTTGGTATTTTTAGCCTTTTTTTCATAATAAGAATACCTATTTTCTTTGCATAAGTGGAGAAATAACCAAAAAAAAAAGAAAGCATAATTACATAAATATGACTCTTAACTTGGCCTCAGCTGATAAGTATAACTTTAACTTTGGGTGTACACAAGTAGACACTTAAATTTGTATAAAATTGAACAAATGGACACATTCGTCCTACATTGCACCCTACATGGCAACTTTGTGTCCTACATGGCATCCTACGTGTATTATGCCATGTAGGACACGTGTGTCTACTTGTTCAATTTCATACATATTTAAGTGTCTACTTGTGCACAGTCAAATTAAGTTGAAAGGCATAGTTATCCGTTGAAGCCAAGCTAAAAGTCACATAGTTATCCGTTGAAGCCAAGCTAAAAGTCATGTTTATATATTATGCCAAAAAAGAAAAAGAAAAACTTACACTGACTTGATCAAAATAAGACAACTCAAAGTCTAACTAACTAACTGGATAGAAACTTCTTGAATTTTTATTGAAAAATATCACAATAAATTGTCTGGTATGGATACTTACCAACTAAAAAGTATACATTAATATCCAATATTCTTTCCTATGTACCAAATACACCTAACAAAGCAAAGTCTACATCCTTCTACCATCCACAATAAATATATACAAGTCTAGCTAATTTGTTTCACCCCTTTCTAATGTATGGTTAAACAAAATCATACAAGCCTTTAATTCATTAAATTGATCGATCAGCGCAGGACTTAATTAAAATCATAACATATATGTCTAATTTGTATTCCCCACAATTGATCCATGGACTCTAAGTCACCATTGGTCATTGAATTTCCAGTTTGGTTGGACCGTTGTACATTTTGGAACAAGCTACAATATAGTCTATTATACATACTGACTTAACTCTCTTACATCATCAACAACAGATCCATCAATACCCTCCACCCTTAACTAGAGTGTCCGAGTTTGAATCATAGAGTGAATTTTTTTTTAGGGAGGATTTGAATTAGTCGGACGATTTCAAAAAGAAAAATATATAAACTATTTGCAGACTATTAACTAGAGTTTTTGCGTTCTAACCATGGAATGTAAAAATTTTGGCAGGGAAGATAATGGATCTTATACTAGGCAAATTTCAATTAGTTGGATAATAAATTTTAAATATCAAATGTTTTTTTTTAAATAAAATAATTAATCTCACTTAACAATGTTAAGTGTACTGTATAGATCAAAAAGAAGGGGGACGTGTTGCCTTTCCTCCATATACAATGCTGAGAAATCCCTTATATTATTACAAAAAAAAAAAAAAAAAAAAAGGAATTAGTGTGTGTTCTATACACCACACAACACCTTCCTTATGGCAAAAAAGTTGGCCTTTTAGAAGGTAGTTCACTCAAATCTCCTTAGTAAAACAATTACACAGTATATATAAGATTTTTTTGAATTATATATATAAATATAAATTTAACCTCCTTAACATAAGATTAAAGGTTGACTTGTGGTTGTAATCAGATTTCAAAATTCCCCTTGAGATTCTACGTTCAAGTCTAGTCAATACATTTTTATTTTCCGAAACTCCATCATTGGATAATCAGAAGTTCAAGTCTCAACAATACATTTTTATTTTCCGTACCCCTATCATCATTGGACATTGATCAATTCAAAACAAAAGGTATATTTTTATTTTCCAAACCCCATCATCACTTCGACATTCAATTCAAAAAGAAAAACGTACAAACTGTTTGCAGTACATATATATATATATATATATGATGGTCGAATCCATTAGTAGAAAACATAAAAGAACAAAAAGACTAGAAAATAATCAAATTCACTCTAAATTAACACATACTCCAACCAGCAATGCTCTCAGCCAAGACTAACTTATCAATGGTAACTCTTTCACCAAACCTATACGAAAACCTCAAAACACCTTGAGATTGAGCAGAACCTTTACGTACAGGACAATTCATGATAGCACTACCTCCACTAGCATACGAATACTCGTATAGCTCCTTCATAGACATATGAACTTCACCGATATATCGATCTCCGAGCTTCCTCTTGCAGTATAACTTAATCACTAACATGTCATTTGGATACTGAATCATCCACTCTGAGATTGTATACTTCATACTAAAGTTCCATGCTGGATTTATCTCCCCATGCTTGTCCGTTGGGGTCCGTTTTTCGGTGTTCGGGTTGCTACCTATGGAAACCCTAGCATGAACTTTCATCTTGAATAGCTTACGAACATCTTCAAGATCGCTTGCTGATATTAGAATTATTTCAAATTTTCTACAATCCATTTGTATTTTTTTTTTGTGTGCTTTTGAGTTAGCTAGTTGTTTGTGTACATAAATTTATATTATATTTAAAATATGTACTGCTCATGAGTATTATGTGGGGTATGTGGACAGATCAGAGGAGACTTTGTTTGTTCGATATAGAAGACTTTTACTTTAATTAGAGGAAAAAACGAAGAAATGGGGATAGTCTTCTCTATTGTTTGGACTTTTATTTTGTTTAGTACTCCCCCTATCTCAATTTATGTGACACACTTCGCTTTTTGAGAGTCAAACAATTTAAGTTTGATCGAGAATTTGCTCATGAAATCTTCAATTTTTTCAAAATGAAATTTATATATTTATAAACTATATAAAAAGTACTATAAGTCACAATAATTGATAATTCAAAATATTTAAAAGATATATGAAAAATTTACGGTCAAGGATAGAATTGTTTGAATCTTAAAATTCGAAATGTGTCACATAAATTTGAGACAGAGGAAGTATATAAGTTTATGTTATCCACCTTTGGGTTTGGAACTTGGATAATTAAATAAAACAAGAGGGGAATTAAAGAAGAGGGTAGTGAGTGTGTTGTACTTATCGTTCATTTTAATTTATCGATTATATTAAAATAGATGTTATTATTTTATAGTATCTATTTTATTTTATTGTTAAGTAACTTTAAATGAGTGGTAATTTATAATAATTAGGAGTGATATAATAAAAAGATACTGGTAATTTTAGTTTTCATATTATTATCTTATTCTAATTTTGATCCTCGTGTTATTAGACAAAACACGTTTGACATTTAATTAAATAGAATATATAGTTTTAATACTTATACCTAACTATGAATTGTTAACACCGTTAGCTTTTGATTTTCTTACTACAGGAAAGAAAGAAGGGCTAAATACTTAATATAATCCATACAATTGTATATATATTACGTAGTATATTGTTTTGAATAAACTTTATTGCCATTGATGATTAGGGATAAAAAAGAGTATTAAATAGAGGCGTGTCAAAGTGAAGATGAATAAACTGTTTGGCAGATTTTGATTTTTTAAACATTATTTAATGTAAAATGCGTTGAAGATAGTGTATTCTTATTTAAAATAAAATAAAATAAAAGAGAGTAGAAAGTTGAGAACGTAATTTTTTATTTACCTTGTCATCCTTGTAAGAAAGTGACGAATGATTTCAGATAATACAATTCATTATCCTTTCTTCACTTTAATAAACTTATTTACTGTATTAAAAAGATTTATCTTTTACTTGTTTAGTTAAAAATTTAATAGACGATTTATCATTTTATACTTATGTTACCATTATTTTAAGTAGTATTCATAACTCAACATTTAAATAACTTAATAATTAGAAATGATATAATAAAATTCTTATTTTTATTTCTATTTTTTAAAAGGTGTGTCAAATAAAAAAAAAACAAATAAATATGTAGGGGAGGGAGGGAGGGAGGGAGTAGGAGAATTAATTAAAGATTGATAAAGAAATTACTAATTAATACAATAGAAGATGAGAATAGTGTAATAACTTATTAATAGTGGCCTAGCTATATAGACAAAAAAAATATGCAGTTCAACCCTCTTATCAAGGATGGTGAATGATTAAGAAGAAATTCTTAAGATGGATGAATTGTCATAAGATGCAGACAACTATTAATAAAAAATGTTATCAGAATAAGAAGTTGAAATGAACATTTCAAATATTAAAATACAACTATATGTTTATTTTTTCTCACCCGGTATTCGATACCCATACATTGGAGCCCGATTAAATTCGGATTCGCGCCGGGAAGTCCTTGGAGGGTAAAGCACTCCCTAACAAATAGGGTTGTTCAAAACCGAACTGAAACCGATAACCCGAACCGAAAAAAGTTATTGGCTTATCAGTAATGGGTTGTTGATTTAGCGGTTTTGATAAGGGTTTTGATTTTTTTTGTTATCGGGTTATCGGTTCTTAACGATTTGAGCCTTTTTCTTAACGGGTTAACCGATAACCCGATAGTAAATTAAATAATTATATTTATATCATTTTGTATATAAAGTCCTTGACTTAGAGTTTGGTTTCCTACTTTTATTTCTGGTTGTCTCAAACACTTGGTTATTCTACAATGTAAAAGTGTTTGCTTTTGAGCAAGATGCAACTTGTGAACTCATGTACATGGTTCATTTGGCCTGTTTCTAAGTGATTTTCAATAAAAAAAATTGTGTCAAATCTTAACGGTTAAATCGATAATGATAATTTTTTTGTATCAAATCTTAACGGTTAAACCGATAACTGAACCGCTAAAAATCAATAACAGATAAACCAATAACAGATAAGTCAATATTTTAATGGTTCTATAACGGTTTAGTATCTCTACAATCTGATAACCAATAAGTCAAACTGATAAACTTCAAAACCGAACTGAACCGAACCGACCAATACGCAGCCCTACTAACAAAGGGCAGCTCCGTACCTAAGGGGGCTCGAACCTGAAACCTTTTGATTAAGAATAAAGGGATACTTACCACTCCACCACAATTCTTGTTGGTCACTATATATTTATTATATAATTACAAGTGAATTACCTTACTCTAGTCCATGAATTTAATATAGAAATTAGAATTGTATTTTTCCACAGTAGAAACTTCCATGTGGAATTAATTACTTGTGAGAAAGGGAAAAATTATTGTAGGACTACTACCGAGTCTACTCCGAATCCGTCCAATGTCAAGTTAGTTGAATAGTAAAACAACCCTTTGTTTCTCTTTCAAAAGGCCTTTTTTGTCAAGAATTCAATTTTTATATATTAATGGTATAAAAAATTTACACAATCAAAGTTGAAAAAGAAGAAAGAAATCTAAGGAGTAGATGATATACGTAGTTGTTTGGTGTGAGGTGTAAGATATAATAATCTCGATCGGGATAAAATATAGAACTATTTTAAACTGCATTTAGCTGGAGGTATTAGGTAGTTCTTGGATTATTTATCCCGCCATTTATACCATAGTGATGGAAATGGTGGGATAATTTATTCCAAAATAATTAATTCCGAGATAACTAGTTCCCAACCAAACGAGTGTATATATACATGCTGAGAAAATGTACATGTTTTGTCCCTATCTTATTAAATGACTTTTTAAGGAACTTTCTCAGAACATTTCCATAATTGAATTAATTGAAAATCAGTTAAGTAGCTCAAAATTTCTTCAATATTGACCTTGCAAGAGTTGTACTGATCAAAGTAGATAGTTCAGAGTCTGGTTTTGATTATCATTGGGTGGTTATTGCACTATGCGATTCACACTTCGAAATGCGAAAAATTTAAATTCACTTTCAATTATTTCATTTGATAGATTGACCTTTCTAAATATTCTTAACTTTAACAAACTAGGAAAATTAAGTCATAAGTTTGGTAATTAAAATTGTGTAATACTAAATGATAATATATTAACCACAATTATATGCAAATTAACAAACATATATAAGTATTGAATTTTGATTTTCAAAATACTTTTTAATTTTTTTTAAAGTTGTCATGTCATTAAATAAGTATCACAAATTATGTTTCTGAGTAAAATGATCATTAATAATAACTAGACAAATTTGGATAATCATGGAAACTAATTACATATAGTTTGATGACTTTTAAAAGACAAAACAAAGTTGTGTGACACCGGTGGTTAATTGCTTAAAGTTGAGCTATTATTCAAGTATTCAACTCTAATTTTTTTTTTTAAAACTTCCCAATAGAAATAGGATATTTTATTTTTTTTCATAAATAGCATTTTATATAATTTCGTCTCCTCCCATCCCTTTCTTAAATGATGTTTTCTATTTATTTTTCGAACATCAAAAGGCAAGTAAAGAAAGTACTTATTATTAAAAAAGTATTTCCCATCTTACCAAACACCCAAGATCTTGAATTTTTTTTATTTACTTACCATTTGGTTCTTTATGGTAATAATAAATTAAATAAAACAAATAAACTAGAAATGAACAAAAGAATAGACTTGACCAATCAGAAAGACGAGAGCTAATAAATAGAAAGCAGAAAGACTTTGAACATATCCATCTGTCAATTTATTGTCTAGACCAAAAGGCCATAATTTATGAAGTTTTGTTATAAATGTATTTATATTGTAGTGAATACTTATCTTGTTTCTTCGAAGAAATGTTAGGAATTAGAAACAAAAGGTTTCTTTTCATTGTATTTTACCACTCAAGAAATAGCTTAAGTCATCGATAGCCCCTTAAAATTGTCTGCATATTTCATTTAGACACCTTAACTAGAACTAATTAATACCTATTAGACACTTCAATTTTTTTAAAATAAAGATCTATCAAACATTTTGCTGACACCTAGTCAAAAGAAGTAGTGTGTGTAATACACACATATATATATATGATGTGACAAAAATAACAAATCAAATAAAGACACGTGACATTTTAATTTAAAATAATTATAAAAATGAATTTTAAATATAAACAAGTCTAAATATAAAAAGAAAAGAAAATCAACTTAAAAAATAAAAGAAATTATATACCCTCCCCCTCCACCTCCACCCCACCCCCGCAGCCCACCCCACCTCTCCCTCCTGATAGTTACCTCTATCCACCATTGTTAATTCTCCAATTGGAAAAATTGAAGGTTTTAACATATATTAAGTATGAATTTATTATTTTTATTTTTTTCTATGCCTCTTTTTCTTATTACCGTTTAAATTGATAGTGTTTTCTTGAAAGATCTGTTCTTCCTTTGTTTATTTTAATTTCAAATTAAAATAACTAGATAAATTTGGATAACCATGGAAGCTAATTGCATATAGTTTGATGACTTTTAAAAGACAAAACAAAGTTGTGTGACACAGGTGATTAATTACTTAAAATTGAGTTATCTTTCAAATATTCAACTCTAATTTTTTTTAAAAATTACTTCCCAATAGAATTAGGATTTATTTTTTTTCATATAGCATTTTATGTATTTCGTCTCCCATCCCTTTCTTAAATAATGTTTTC